ACGCATTGATTCGCTACAGGAGGCCTTTGTTCACCCCCCGGAGCCGTGTGAGACACTTTTTTTTTTTTTTTTTTTGTCATAAAAGAATCTGAAAGTTAATTGCTGTTTGTTCTAAAGATTTCAGTTATTGTTGACTGTCTACATAAACATAATTCATACATCTGTGTTGGGGGTGAAACAAGTTTGTGCTCTGGGGTTGAGCAAAAACTAGAATGTTGCATTAGTGGTTTTGTCCCTGATGCCTGGCATTTGTAAAACCCTGGACAATGAAAAAATTTCAGATATAAATCGGAAGATCACTTTATTCAACAGTATCTTCTCTTCTGTGTCAGTCTTCGACGCACGTTCACGAGAGTACCATGACACATCCGTGTGGTGCTGCTAATGCAGGAGCTGGCATAGAAGAGACGGTACATCTCTCTTAGTTCATGGTCTATATCAGGGGTGGCGAACGTCGGTCCTGGAGAGCTGCAGCCCTGCAGAGTTTTGCTTCAACCCTAATCAAACACACCTGAACGAGCTAATCAAGGTCTGAAGGGTTACTAGGAAGCTGCAGGCAGGTGAGTTTTAATTAGGGTTGGAGCTGAACTCTGCAGGGCTGCGGCTCTCCAGGACCGGAGTTCGCCACCGCTGTATTATAATGTGAAAGCTTTTAGCTTTGTCAGTAAAAACTACACATCCCCACCTCTTCTAGACCTTTGTAAATAGTGACTAGTCCAATTCGTCAGTGCTCCAGCTCACCCATCTGTAAGGTGAAAGAAAGAACGTTGGAAGGACCAAAGAACTTGGAGTGTAAAGTGTATGCCTTTAAGTGTTTTAGTTTTCCTGTTTGGAAATTAAAATCTAAAACCGCAAGTATTGACATTGTTCTGTTTATTTTCTTTTGTTTTTATTTGCCCACTGCAGTTTGCTTTATTTTTTTTAATCATTTTTTTTTTCATTTGATATTAAAGTTTGTTTTGCATTTAACCACATTTCTTTTCTTGTCTGGTTTTATTTGGAAGATGGTTGAAAGAAGCCATTTTTTATCATTTGGTTTTACATTTACATTCACTCACCACGTGGATAAATTGGAAGCAGGGTTGTAGGCACTTGGCTGCAAGTTGTCAGTCTAGATTTGGTTAGATCCGTTTTCAGTTACACATTTGCTTGCCGAATTAACAGTAATAATGCATTTTAATGTTGTGTTTTACTCTCTACTTAGTCAATCCTAAATGCAGCTTTGTACATTTTAATGTGAACTTGTGAAATTAAGTCATGTAAAGCCACACAAAGGTGAAGAATTCTATTTAATTGTTCTCACACAGTACTAGTACACATCTGGTTTGCAGACCAGCACTATACTTGTTTGCATGTTCATTTGGTAGGATTGATTTCAGTAATTGTACACATCATGCTTCGGGTCTTTAGTAGTAGTGTGACTTGAGGTCCTGTAGCAGGATGTTCCATGTTTCATTCAAATAAATGCCATTGTTTTGCCGTAAAAATTTTTGTTACTTTATTATTCTAAATGTTCCTAGTTAATGGTAAAAAAGACTGCCCCAGTTAGCTTAATGTTTGTGTGTTCATAATGGGTAAATGTTGACAAATTAATCTGCTTTTATTTGCTGATTATATTTGATAAACTTTCCACACTACATTACATGTTTTATATTATAAGGAGTTGTCATGTTTTAGTTGAACAGAGAGGAGACAGACTTTAACTAAATTAACAAACTTGTGGAGTATAAAAATGTTTATTTTTAGGAATTGAGTGTGCTTTTCAGTAGCTTATGAGGACAAGACTCATTTTCCCCACAGAAAAAATAATAGAAACATTACATTTTAAAAAATTGTAAATGTAAAAAGTAGATTTATGTGAAAAAGGGGAGGTGACAAAAGCTGGGATGTTGGTTTAAAACATCCAATTCAAAACTCCTCTTTAAATTATAATTATACTGTAACTGCTTTTGTTACAGCTGTTAAAAGCTGTTATTAAGCACCCCTTTTTTTCTTTTGCTTGTGAAAATACAGGGTTTCTGTGGGTCTCAAAAGTTTTAATTCACCCTTTCACAACTTGAAAAGGTCAAATCGGAGCACAAAGTCTTCAAATCATAAAATTAATGGCAGTAAATTTTGGAAGTGTTTTTGCACTGCCAAAAAAATGTTCCTCCGTATTTTGTCGTTTTCAAATACATACATCTAAACATCCTTAACTAAATTAACAAACTTGTGGAGTATAAAAATGTTTATTTTTAGGAATTGAGTGTGCTTTTCAGTAGCTTATGAGGACAAGACTCATTTTCCCCACAGAAAAAATAATAGAAACATTACATTTTAAAAAATTGTAAATGTAAAAAGTAGATTTATGTGAAAAAGGGGAGGTGACAAAAGCTGGGATGTTGGTTTAAAACATCCAATTCAAAACTCCTCTTTAAATTATAATTATACTGTAACTGCTTTTGTTACAGCTGTTAAAAGCTGTTATTAAGCACCCCTTTTTTTCTTTTGCTTGTGAAAATACAGGGTTTCTGTGGGTCTCAAAAGTTTTAATTCACCCTTTCACAACTTGAAAAGGTCAAATCGGAGCACAAAGTCTTAAAATCATAAAATTAATGGCAGTAAATTTTGGAAGTGTTTTTGCACTGCCAAAAAAATTTTCCTCAGTATTTTGTCGTTTTCAAATACATACATCTAAACATCCTTGAATTAGCATATAGTTACTTGAGATGCAAATTAAATATATGCAGTATTGTTTTCTGCAAATTTGAGTTCATACTTAAATCAAGAATAAATGTCTGTCAGTGGGGTACGTAAACTTGTTTATATATTGAATTAAGTTGATTTTACTGAGCCCATTGGCAGATATTTGTTCTTATGTTCATAAACACTTCATTTTGATCAGTTTCTCATAAAACAAAACTTGTGCATTTTGCTTCATAATACATCATGATTTAAGAATCTTTTGACATTTGCATTTGAATCCAAGACAAAAATGCTAAGGATGAACATCACTTTTTGCAGTGTGATCAGAAGCTACAGTAAAATTATTTTCATATTTAAGCAAAAAGCAATGGAGATCTGTTGGAAGGTGTACTGTATTTTCAAAATGTAATGTATTGCATATAGTCTCCTCCTAAGACATTTACATTTACAGAACATAGTAATGTTTTATGTTCCCATTCATTTTCTTTACTTGGTCTTAAAAAGGTCTCTTAAACATACCTTTAAAAACTGCAGAAGCTCTGAACTACTGTGAAAAAAAATTCATACAAAAAGTATACAGATATACAGATGTATAAAGGCTGTAATAATTAAGTCAGCTGTGCTTTGGAACATGGTCGTGTGTCTGTTTTGTCACCGCTGAATTAGTTTCGTTGGTCATAACCTCCGAATGGCTAATTTGTCATTAATGTTCTTTGGGCTGATCATCCTGAGCTCTTAAACCTGAAGCAAGCAGCTCTATCTAATTAAAAAGCTCTGCTCATTTTCTCCGAAACCAAATCCGATGTTAACCATCTGTCCTCACGTTCATGGCGTTTCTTATAACATCACCGCGCAAACACATTACATCCATTTTTGTATTTTTTTTATTATGAACATGTTCATTACACAAAAATACAATGTAAAAAAACAAGAAATATTTGCAAATCAGTCACTCGTGTAGTTGCACGTGATGCCAGATAATTGGCTTTCGACTGTGCATTTTAACATGCCACTCAGGTTCCTTCCTCATTCCCTTCAGGAAGTTGTTGAATGAGGTCACTGCAGATCTGGATCATGTTTTGACCGTAACATCAGCCTGAACCGGAATGGCAAAATTCCTGAATGCATGCCAGCATGCAATAACTGCTGTACCTCCAGCATCAGAGGCGACAAAAGCAGAGGGGGAAAAAAACTTATTTTTGGCCTGTCCTTGTAAATAGGGAAAGGAACGCTGCCTAAATGTATTCAGCTGTACAAAACAGCCAATATTAGTCCGTTTTAAAAGCAGAAACAGAAGAACCAGAGAAAGTGTTCATTCAGTACTTCTTTATGGCACAGTGGTAGAAAGGAGGTTCGTGGATGTAAGGCAATCATCTGGTGACTCAGACCTGACATATATTGTAGTAGACTGTGGGTCGTTCAAAAACGGTGTCCCCAACCACCTCGAATATACAGTCTTTCCCGGCCAGCAGCGGTACTTCAGCTAAAGGCACATTCTCCATGTTTTGAGCCGTCTGGCCGTCCTGTGCAGCTCCATTTGCTTTCGCCTGACAAAACAA